CTTGCCTCAGCACATGAAGTCTCTTAGCAAAGGAGTTAAGCGCTCAACTTTATACAATTGCTGCTTCGTATAGTGCTGTGAGAACCAAATGATTACTGTATTGCTGCTAGCATTTCTGTGTGAAATAGTTGATTGATGTCAAGTTTGAAAAATTTGACAAGAACAAGAATGATAAAGTTTTTTGAACAGACGAAGCTTTTAACAACCAAATGTAGTTAATGAACCTCAAACCTTAGTATTTGACTCTCATTTACTCTGAAAATCCTATGCCTTATGTTTACCACTTGAAATGATTAAAATAATAGAGTTATCATTTCGTTCACCCTTTCTTCCTCCTTTCCACCAAAAACTTCTTACGATATATTTTCCTCACGAAGTTCTACAGCAGAGCGTACTGGTAAAAGTTTTTGAACGAGTTCAGGGAAATGTGAATCATTGGCAAATATCTGCACAGCAAACCATCAATGAGATTTCTTCAAGAATTTCGTTATGTTTGCGCAAGGATTAGGGCGTTGGCTTGCGAACGAAGCATCCTAGGAGAAGTGGTCAAACTGCTGCTGAGTCGCAGAGAGGGTCCTCAGCTCTGGCATGCAAATAGACGAACTTAAGCAACGAAAACGACAAGATAATCATGTGAAATACGTTTTATAGGATTTGCGATTTGGAAAGGAAGGGTCCTTTCCAGTTCATTTTTGTTGCTCTGAATTTGTTTGTCTTTGGCTGGAGTTCAACGGAACTGGACAAGGCAAACAAAAAGGAGAGCTCAGCTCGATCCAAACAATGCTAACGCTTCTATTAATCGAAAATAGTATCAAAGGAGAAAGTAAAATCTATATGTGAAATTAGCATATAGAATCTAATGCATAAAGCTTGAAATTTTTAAATCTTTATCTTTTAATTCCCTATATTTAGCTACAATCAACTACAAACACTGCCAGAGAATGTTTTTATGAACTCTTTCCTTCCGCGTCCCAACGATCGACGTGTCATCTACTGCTGCGGTGAGTGGGTAAACGATGTGCAAAGTGACATATTTCTCAAGGAGCGGCACTCAAAAGGCGTAGCGCGTTTGCATCTTGAAATACTCACGATGTTCTGCAGATAAAAAACAACTTCGAACTTTTGATGCACGTAGGTTGACCCAAATCTGTAAAGCTACGTTAATTTCTTTAAGCTGTATCCAAACTTCAATAGTACAGCTGTATCACAACGAATTAGTAAGGTAAATCTATGATTCATAAGTACTTCTTTTAAGCGCTTTTACCTTTTGTAAATCAGGCCACTCACGCATTTTTGTAAGGAAATGAGTGTTTTCT